CTGACTGTGGTGATGGGTTAAAAACAGTGACGTGCTGTGTCACAGTGACAAGTACTTCACTCTCCTTCACTTTCCTAGTACTAACCCAGTACTTGTGTCTGGTACATGTACTGTATTGTGAATGCGTTTCATATTCCGCCTCCTCCCAGGACATTACAGAAAGAGAAATGAGATTTCTACAAGGTGGCACAGTTTTAATTTGCACCAGCGTTACCTGTGGGGCCGTGGAGTACATGCCCCAGCTGCAGCCGCACACCATTACATTCATCAAGTTTTCACCCCAGCTTTTAGTCGCATAAATACACTCATTTGACAGACGACTTAAGTAATTGCCTTTTTAAACTGCAGTAATCTCAGGGTGCAGCAAGTGAAAATTAAAAATGTTGTGCCATGAGTAATTTTTGTGTGTGTATGTGTCTTGTCTCCGCCGGTATTTATTCGCCTGAATTTGCATCTTTGTGAAAAGGGCAGTGAGAGAAAGGGTTTTGGAGGGAGGGCGGGGGGCGAGTTACCCAACGACTGTCTATCCCGTCTGAAACGGTGATTATCTTCTAGGTCACCACTCTGAAGCGCACGCCTGGTCCTTTTTTTAAAGGGCATTGTGGAGTTTTTGTGCAGACTTGAATCTCATGAACAGAAGAAAAAGTTTCAGTGTTTCTAACTTAGACGTTAGAAATGAGACTTTTCTGAGACGGGTCTGAAAATGGTGCCACGCGCCGGCAATTTACTGCAGAAGTGGGCCAGTGAGTGACGGCGTCCTTGTCCAAACAAACAAGTACAAAAGAAAAACCTATTTTGGAGCAGCTGGTAATAAACTGGTTCCCAAGGTGGGGGGTGGGGTCCCATTAGTGGGCAATATTTTCAGTATTTTTGGGTTCATGAGTTTTCTTTGTGTTTCCTGGGTTCAGGTTGGACCCACCTTGCAGCGTACTACTTTTGAAATAGTATTTAAAGTATTTTTCTTTTGTTTTTTCCAGGCCAGTGCGAGGCGTCCTTTGGAAGAAATGCCGGTCCCAGGTGCCCTAGTACATCATCACCGGGATCATGGCAACTCCTTTGGCAATGACACGAGAGAGATGGTCCACCGGCTCCGCTCGCCTTGTTAGATGGTCGGCGCCCTCCTTGATGCTCCTATGGTTGCCCTGGGTGTTGTTGTGGCAGCCGGGGGGCGGCCGGGGTGGACAAGCGGTTGGCGTCGGACACGGCGGGAAGGTGCTGCACGGCTCGCTAACGTCTTCATCCTCATCTTCATCCTCCTCCTCCTCTTCTTCGTCCTCCTCCTCCGGCTCCTCACAATGGGGCATCAACACCCGTCAGAGCCGCGGGGAGCTGGACTGGCTGCTGTCGGAGAAGGGACCGTTCCACAAATGTCCCGAGTACACGGAGTTCAGGGAGCGTTTTCAACAGGGGTTCTCCACCAGATACAAGATCTACAGGTGAGAGTTCCGCTCTGTCAGTCTGTCCGTGAAGTATTTGTGGAACATGTATTACTTCTGGTGTAAAAAATATAAGTAGGGAGAGTGGTTAGTGCTCTTATCTTACTGCAAATAGGTCACAGGTTCGATTCCCGGCTTTGTTTTGCAGGTTTTTTGTGTCTGCGTTTTCTTACGGTTTTCTCCCACAGTGGATGAAGATTAATTGGTCTACAGCGACTACATGAGTGTGATTGGCAGTGACAGTCTCTGTGTGTGGCTCTGTGATTGGCTGGCTGTTATTATCCTTGCCTGGTTGGCATGAAGTTTATTTAAAAAAAAAAAGAATTCCTAGATCGTCCGACGGTTGTCCAGTCTTGGTCAGACACGTTCTAGTTTCAGGTGTTCAGGTGTTTGGTCAGGTGTTGGTGACTCAAACTGTAACACTAAAGTATGTTTTGACTCGTTTTGACTCATCTCCTGTATATTGCCTGCCTTTTTTAGAACCCAGGTGGCGCTCAGCTGCGTATCTCGGGTTTTTTTTTTTTTGCCGCCCCCTCAGGTGCCGGTTCCTTAGACAGCAGGAGAGTCGATGAATCTGTGTAAGACAGTGAAAGTCCAGCACTTCCTGTGAAGTCTTTCAGCTGACCATATCCTCTCATCTGTCATCGCTTTGTTCCTCTTTGTGAATTCAAAATGACAGCAATTCTCTGCCCCCCCCTCTGTCCCCCCCCCCCTGTCTTCCCTCACTCTGCCGCTGCCTTAGGTTGAATTAGTATGTTTCCCCCAAGGGGGATGAATAAAGCCCTACTCTCTCTACTAATTTAATGGGGGTGACAGCATCAGTGACATGAAGGGAAGAAAAGGAGTGAAAGGACAGGTGTGTTTTTATTAAATGGGGCAGATTGTCATGTGATAGACTAGAGTACGCCTTTGGAATTACTGCATACCATATGATATTATTTCAAATGAAAGTCTTAGTAATTCAGATTTTTATTTTTCAAAGTACAAACTGGAAAGTACTGACACGTGCTCTTTGTCTGTTCGATGAAATACTAAATCTGCTGCATTTAGTAATAATTTAGTTCATCCCGTGCAGCAGGGGGCACCAACTACAGTATATTCTTCGTAGAGACAAAATATTTTCAGGACAGACACCTTGATCACTCAAACAAAATGAAAATCACGGTTTTTATCTGGCATTATTATTTATTATATTGGACTGTTCAACGGGCCGGATTTGGCCCACGGGCCACCAGTTGATTACCAGGAAATGATTCAAAGACCTTTACTTTTTTACGTTGTTGAACTTTTCTTTCATTCTTTCATTCCTCACCGTATCCATGTGATGGTCAGGAATTCAGCCGTGCTTCGTCACAGACAGAAGAATCTGTCTTTTTTTTTTTTCCGTTGTATTCCATTTGTTTGAGTGTTATATATTCTCTGTTTCCACAACAACAAAGCGCTGGTACATGTGCTCTTCAAGACCACGGCTCCACATCCTCCCACAGTGTGAACACAATTAGAGTTGCAGAAAGAGACAAGGGCCTGACAACACATTCCCTGGCAACACTGTACCAACAGTGACAAGAAATACAGAATACAAGAGTAACAGAGTAACAGTAAAGTAAATATTAACAACCAAATATTTTAAACTTTGTTTTTCCTCTTTTTTTCTGTTACAAAAATGTCTTTTAATTTTTTTTTTTTTACTATTTTAGTTTTTTTTCTTCTTAGGCTAGAATGCATATTTTATCATGAAGATAATTTAAATTTTTTTATATATTTTTTTATGTTTCAGGGTCGGGGGGGGGGGGGGGGGGGACGACTTAACTCTGTGTCACAGCAGAGCGGGGGGTGAAACGGCCCGATCTCATTAGGTTTTAATGAAGGATAATGGAGACAGGGAAACTTGTCAGGTTTATTTTCCTGGTCTAAACCTCATCTGATGAACCTGCTGATCTCATCATCACACATCACGGTCTTCAATCTGGCGACTCTTCTTGTTCGTCCACGTCAACGTCGTTGTTGTTGAAGTATTGGTTTGATGGACATTACGTTAGGTTATTGTTGGCTTTGTTTCCAGTTTCCTAATTCATTCCAAGTCGTGTTAATTTATTTGGAGAAATGACAGTTCACCTGTTTGTTTTTTTGTTAGTTTTGCCGTAGGTGCTATGAGGTATTTTTATATTGCAGCCGTCATCACACTCCTGTGTTCACAGCTCGTTTTTAAACTTGACTCTGAACCAGTGAATTTACCAAACACATCTAATGTTTCCAATGTGGGAGGGAAAAGCAGACCCTGGAAAAAAAAAGAGAGATATTTATAGTTATAGTTATAAAGACTAGTGATCCTTTTTACTGTAACCACTCATCAAACTTTTGGCCACAATTATTTAAATTTGATATCATTACGTATGTTTTTTTTCCAAAGTCCGTTTGTCATTTTCTCAGAGTCAAAGTCTTCCTTCAATGTTTTTTGGAGTTAAAGTTCAGCCACGTCTCCAAACTGCCGTGCGCAGCTGAAAAGTCTGTCTTTTATTTAAAGCTGTGCTCCTGGTGCTGCAGGAGAAGCTCAGCGCCTCCTCCACTCTTATCAACCCATTTAATTGCCACCGCTGGTTGTCACTGGGAGTGTGAATGTGGGTTAGTGGGGCTCCGGGCTCCTCCTCCCTGTCAGCTCCCTGCCTCTTATTATGTGCTTGATCTTCTGTCATATTTCAGCAGGTTGGGCTCAAAACTGTGATAAAGTCTCCATCCCCGTTGGGCTCAAAACTGTGATAAAGTCTCCGTCCCCGTCGTCTTCGTCTTCTTCTTCTTCCTCTCCTGGCTGCTCCGACACAGCTGATCATCTGCCTTCATCTCATCCTCACCCATTTTCACGTCTTCCTCCAGACTTCACCTTCAAACTGCTAACTGTCCCTGTCCATCTGTTTGTTTCTAATCCTGTCCACCGGGGTGTCTTCAGCCTCCCATCTCTTGGACACAGACACGTTCTCCAAACCAGGGGTCATTTGGTGCTGACCTTTGGGCATGACTTGACACGCCTGAATTAGACCATACATCACAGCAAGTCAAACATTTCTTTTCCACTTTTTTTTTTTAATCACAAATCCCTTACGATGCTTCACTTTTACTGTCTTTAACTCCTTCTTTTCTAGCCCCCCCCTCCTCTGCCTTAGCAGCCAACTCCTGGGTTAAATTTTCCACGGGAGTACATGGGAAAATGAGCTGCACCTCCTGGCCATCTGATCGTCTGCTGCTTATGAGGCAGAGTTGAGGGAGTGGGCTTATGACATATGATAATTGCTTTTTAATGGGGTAATAAGATTCAACGTTGCTGCTGTGGAAATGTGGTGTACAGCCTGACAATAACTCCTGCAGGGTCATCACCTCAGTAGTTGCCAAAAGTTTTAATACATGAAGATGAACTTTTCTCTCTCTGTCGACCTGTCGTCGTGGTCAAGTGTACGACAGAGTAAAAACTGGGCCGACGGTTTTGGTTTTAATCTAAAATAATTACATCTAAATGGTTTCTCTGGTCAAATTCAATCTGTTCTCCCAAAACATATGACAACGTTTATGTGGGATACATGCATGCTCCAGTAGAGGGCTACTAGAGTTCCTTTGAATTGCACAGCTGCAGAAAAAAACATGTTTTAAATTGAAGTGTAAATCAACGATAACACCTTTTTTATTTAGATTATTTAAATCTAATTTACAAAAGTTCTGTGACAGTTAACACTTTTAAAGGCGTCTGGTTTTAATAGCGTGTTAAAACACGTCTGTCAGGTATCACCACAGAATTTATTTTTTTATTTTTTTCTAGCCTAGAGCCGTGCTATTTTAATTTTGAGCTCCTTTCTAAATGAAAAGACGGTCAGAGTGGAGGAGGATCTCTGTGAAAGAACATTTGACCAAACCCTGAATCGTAGCCTTTACCATCACTGGATTTTTTTAATTCAGAAGTTTTTGAAATTGTCTTAGAACATTTTGACTGATCTTTGATTCAGTTCAATTCCAGTGTCCTTTACAACATGGATCACAGGAAGTGAGCTCTTTTATCAAATGGTCTTAATGACAGGAATTATACTGTTCAATACCCAGGTTTGACGCAGGAATCTTAAACCCGCCGTGCTGTAATGAGTTCCTTTGACTAAAATCCAGGCCGACCACAGTCACATTTGTTCAGAGTACTTCCACACTCTTTACCTCCCGCTGAGTGTGTGAGCAGTGGGAGAAATGGGCAGGAAAAAAAACATAAAAACCTGCAGCTGCGCAAAGACAAAGAACCTGGAGATTAGCTGCGATGAATCACTGGGAATCCATTTTCAGAGGGGGATTATATTTTCTTTATAAAGCACTCAAAAGCACACACACTGCTTTTGTATTTTTTTTAACACTTCCACATAGACTAACATCGCCCCCACAATTTCCATTGGTGCCATATATACGTCTGCAGGCAAATAAAAAAAGGTAAAAGTACCAAAAGATTAAAGTATGCACATAACGAGGCAGCTGATGGTTCAACTTCACAATATTAAAGTATGCACATAACGAGGCAGCTCATCTATAACTGATGGTTCAACTTCACAACGCTAACCATATCTCCGTGTTTCTCCATCAAACTGACTCTGAGTCTGAGCATCAAGTGTCACCTACTGGGTGAGATTTGATTAGCACGTAGCTAGAGATTATTATTAATTCAGGCCCAGTGCTGCGCTAACAGGATTAGCTCCGTCTCAGGAGTTAAACATCAGAGAACTGGACTCAAGACAAATATTTCTGTAGACGCAATAAAAGGGATGAAACTACGTAATAAATTAAAAATGTCCTCACAGCCTTTTACTTCATCAGAACTCCCGTTTTTATGATGATGTTTTTGAAAAGGACACAAAAGTTGCTTTCTGCCTGCTGACACTTACGATGATGGTCACAAATTCATTAACTAATGGAGAGGGAAATCAAACAACATTTAATTTCAATCCCATGCAATGACAACACACTCCGACTGACGGAGCCTT